TTGGCTCTTTTTATCACGCAGTTTTGCATGGGGATCGCCACCAAGATATTATCAAAAGCTCACCAAGACATGCTTGTCCCCATTCCCAGTCACAGCAAAGTACATATTGTACATTCCGTTAAATAAAAAAGCATTGCGTTTGGTAAACGTTAATTATGTCCTACCTTTCCTCTGATAACGCGCCTAGCTTACCGGTCCGCGGGCTGCTGGCTGTTATTGCTCCGTTCGGGATTACATTTTCCTTGTCCTCTTCTCCTTTTCAAAAGCTCCGTGCACTTTTCAGAAACTTTCACCTCCGTGTTACCATCGCTAACTTGGCTACGTCCCATTGCCTTGAATCATTTACGGAGCGCTCATGTAGCCACGGCACGTTCAAGGCCCACTCGTTACTTTTTATTTCTATATACATATAAATACAATTATATTCAAATTATTAATATATATCTAGATATATACAACAGATTCACACGTATTACTATATATTTTGTTATAATTAACCATTTCATTGTGTGTATTATATTATTATTATATATTTTGTTTCTTTTTCAGACCAATTTCATTTGACGGAAATCCGTCACTTAGACGGAACTCTTTAATCCCTGCGCTATACACATGCAATCCTTTCATACAATTGGTAGAACACACTTGAACCTTTTTTCAAATGACAGCAATCATTATTTATTTATATATATATTAAAAAAAAAAAAAAAAAAAAAAAAGTGATGTTTTTTTTTTTTTTTTCCTCACGCCGGATTTCCGGCACGGTGCCGGAAATCTTTAAGCCCTGTGTTCCTGTGCTGACTGTTGTTGTCAGTCCACCTGTGCAGACACAAAGGACATGAACATATCAGAAGAATAAAAACAGATCGCTCCATCACAGGTGCCACAGGTTAAGGTTTTGTTAGGGATCATTTTCCCTGTCATTTTGACGGACGGGGTTGTAAAAAAATCCACAAGCTATTGTTATCTATCGCGTCACCTGTCCATGACCCACCTCTGTTTACCTTAAGCTCTCCTCACTGATTACTGAAGGGTCCTCTTTGGTCATCAGGACAGAGAGCCCAGTCAGTCAACATGACACCAGTGAGTTAAACCTTCAGTGACACAAAATCCATACTAGATTACTGCAAATCAAAGGAGTAAATATTGTCAATATCACAAGCCAAAGTGGAGATATTTTACAATATGTTACCTTGGACAGTGAAGCATCAGACAAAAAACATACAAAAAACACATTTATGCAAACAAATAGAACCCTACAGGATTACACAGGAATCTCACGGGACTCCACGTGGCTTAGTTTACAGTGAATACACTCTGGCTCCAGCAAATAAGCAAGAATCTTCACAAAAATGCTAATTTTGTGCCGTGGCCAAGGACGATGGCGCCGGAGACCCAACATGCCTTGAGCCGTGACGTCGGTCCACGTGTATTCCTATGTTCAAAACACGCGGCACCGCCCCCACTCACCACACGGCACGGAAGGCGGGCATGAAAGGCTGACATGGACGGTTCCCTAGGTTTAGGAGATATTGAAAGGGCGATCGTCGCAGGTGTGCGGGCTGCACTCCAGGGTGCACCTACCACGGTCCAGTCCACAACATCAACAGTAAGTGAAGCTGTTTTAATTTGAGCTCTTTATGCATACTTGAGGGAGTTAGACACTGTTAGCTAACCAAGCCAGTTAGCTGCGTGGCGAAGGCTAGCTCAAGTTTCGTTATCCACTGTAACATTAACGTGAACCTGGCCCCCCATAATACTCAAAATGTCATTTAAAAAAACTATGTCAATGGTTTGTAAAAATAATAATAATGTTTGTGTTGTTATCGTTTTTGAGATATTAATGATTGTTTTATTGGTCAGATCTAGATCACCCTGCTTATAAAGCTCCAAAACGGGTTAAAATTGTGTCAACCGCTTCCTCTACATCTGTGCTGTAAAGATGTCCGTTTGTGCTGATTCGGTTTTTAAACTATTACAAAGATCCATCTTACAGTCTATGGAGCCATCAGGCGTCCACCTCGTTCTCATCTGAAGCGCGCCCACGTGTCAGGAGTGCAACACACACTGCATTAAAAAAAACAATCTATCTAAAAAATGATAACAGCACAAACGATTGACATATTTTTCACAACATGTTGAGTATGATGGGGGGGCGGGGGCAGGTTCACGAGACTGTAAAGTGGAATGCGCCCCGCCACTCGCTCCCCTTCGTTCAAAACATTGTCCAAAAACAAGTCCTTCTCCACGAAGCAGCGCGCGTGGGAGTGTGTATGTCGGGGTGTGCAGGTGCTCGATCAGCAGTGCAAGCGTCCAGACATCAGCTGATTTGATCAGAGTGTGTGGGGTTGGGGAGAACAGACTGGGCTTTAGACGTATTGCTTGTTGTTGAAATTCGTTTACTACACAGTTTAAGTTTATAAACTTTAATTGTCTGTGGTACATTTAATATTAATAGTAGAGCCCCCGCACCTACTAAAAAAGAATACCCACAAGAAAATGTAAGACTACACCACTGGCCTAACCTCGTTGACTCATTAATTACCAGTGACAAAACTCACCACTTACTTTATGAAGCCTGTGCTGTGATCCACGTGTAATAACATACTTTGGCTATATCAAACATCTAAAATGCAGGCTTTTGTTTCAGGTTTCAACACCAGCGGCGGTGCCCAGTGCCTCAGGCACTTCCAACTTGAACTTCACATCCCTGAGATCAGTAAGTTGTGATATACTGTACCTGGATAAAAATACTATTTTTGATTCAAAATAACTCTTTCTCATTGATTTTGAAGTTCAACATTGATCATTTGTAGTGTGCAAGCTGACGGCTAACTGGCTTACATTAACTAGGGGCGTGCATGTGGATTTATAAAGAGATGGAGTGATCACACAGCGGGTAGCAGGGGGAAGATGCGTGTCGATCGGTGTAGAGCTGGGTTAGGAGTTCTGTGAATGTAGTTGTTCGTGTTTACTATGATCCACATTTTGCACTCATAAATGAGCTGCAATTTACTTTAAGGCATGTATCTGAGGAAGAGTTCTGCTGTTGCCCGCTGTAGTCTCATTTTATCAAATACATCTATTGTGCGTTGGTTGTGTTACTAAAACATAATTGCGTATCAGTCCAACCCCTTGTCCTTCCCAGCTTGTCCTACATTTATTATGTTGCTTGTGATATCCCTTGGTGTGAAAAAAACAACTGCTCTACATTACATACTGTGCAATACAATATGAACAAGTTTTGGTGTTATTTTACATTTGGAAGTTGCTCTAAACCATAGTAACTTGTCATCAAAACAGAAAGCAACTGGGTATTCGCACACAGTGTTAATGCAAAGAAACGCAGCAAACCGGAATTGTTTTTTTGGATAGAAAATGCTAGACTTGTCTAGCCTGGCTAACGCCATACTGCTGTGTGTGCTCGAATCTTTTCGAACTTCACAACAGCCTGGGGACCATGGCTGAAGTCTTTGCATGGATTTGGGGACAAATCTCAGAACGAGAAGGGACGGCAAGACGATGTCGCACTATTCGACATACGGAAGCTTGTAGTTTGTTTAGGGATACATTTTTTTTTTTGTGAATCCAACTAACGATTATTTTGTAATCGATTAATCTATCTATTATTTTTTACGATTAATCGATTAATCTCTTGGCTGTGAATGGTGTAGGGAAATTTTATCTTTTACATTTATTTCATCATATAAAGCAAAAGTGGCGTCGCTTGAGGACGTGTTGATGGAGTAAACTTAAAGTAAATGTTTGTAGGAGGCTCTTAGTGCTAATTCTGCTTCTGATTAGATGAGACAGACGGATATTCAAGAAATTTACAATGTACAAAACACTATACTAACTAACTATTATAATATAACTATTATGTCATTTTTGCTCTATTTGAGTCTGTGTGAACCAGACAACGATTAATCGATTACTAAAATATTTGTCGACTATTTCAATAAACGATTAGTCGTCGATTAATCGATTAGTTGTTTCAGCCCTACAGCAGACGCAACGCTAGTTGCGTCAGTTTATTTATTAAAAATATTCAAAATCATATATCAATTTCATTTCACTTCACGATTGTGTGTCACTTAGTCTTTCACACAAAATTTCACTTGAATATATTTGTTTATGGTCCATAGCATGGCAAAATGTCAAAGTTAAAGGGATGCCGATACTTATAGAACCCACTGTAAACCACACCTCTCCTACGAGAAAATGAATTGGTGGTCCCCAGACTAAATATCACTTGTGATTTTAGTCTGGCATTAGCCAGGATAAGACTCGTCCAGACTCTAATGCTTCTGTTCTGTGGTCCAGGAGGAAAAGTTGTGGACATCCACTGTTGTATGTTTGGAGTCTGTTGAACACACCATGAGCCCGAAGTAGTACCCACTATACTTACTTAATAGGCATGAGGATTACATCCTGTGCGTGGCAAAATTACATTAATGGCTCCGCATCACTAAATGTCAGCATGCTGACCTGTATGCTGGTCTTTACAACTTTACTGTTACACGTCGTCACTGTCAGCTCTATTAAGAAAAGTCTCTTGGTCTGTTTTTTTTTTCTCTCAATAGGTTCCTTTGCCATCCATCCCTCGACATAATGGAGCTCAATCGAGATACATGAGACGAAGGCATGCCAAAATGTACACAAAGGAAGTTGTATGTTTACCTTTTTCACCCAGAGCATCGGTCACATCGGTCTTCATTATACCCAGAGGAGAAACTCGGAGCAAGCTGGCTATGGATGGCCTCATTGGAAAAATTTCATTTTCCACAGAATGGTCTGAAGACCAAGTGAGAGCTGAAATAACAGCTATCTTTAGGGGAGCATTTGGGTTATCAGGGCACCAGTCACTTCCATTTAAGTTTTTGAGCACCATCAAGGGGTGTAAAAAGCTGATGATACCGAAGGTCACCTCCAATTTCCCCTGGGGTGGTAAAGAAGTTGCCTCCGTCTGTTCCAGCACTTGTTTATATATCCTGGCAGAAATGGAAGTTCCTGCACAGGTGAGCATGTTATTGAATATATTTGTGTGGTAATTCAGAGGACAAATAACAATTCCTGTAATTTGTTTCATTCATACATTCTATCTTGGTGAGGACACTCACATAATGCATTACCCAAACCCTGAGCCCTAAGTAAATGGTAAATGGTCACATTTTTATATAGTGCCTTTCTACCTGCTTTAGGCACTCAAAGCGCTTTACATCAAGGAACCAGTCACCCATTCACACTCTCATTCATATGTAACAGTGGTTATATGGCTCTGAGTTGTGTTTAAAATCATAAGCTACTGCCTCCTCCAGTCTCCTGAGTCCTCTGGCTCCCGCCAGGCACCAAGCCCCTTTTCTATGGCCGGCGACATGTGCTTCGCCGGCGAGGCCACAGCGACCCCTGGCGGCGCGGCAGTTACATTACACACCCACCATTCACATTGGTGTATGAATGGGTGAGAGGTTCCTCCACCGGGGCGACGGTGGTGCAGAGAGTAGTGCGGGTCGTCTTGTGACCAAAGGGTCAGCGGTTCGAATCCCGCAGGTGCCCACTGTCGTTGTGTCCTTGGGCAAGACACTTCACCCACCTTGCCTCCAGTGTCTGCGTACACTGGTGTGTGAATGGGTGACTGGTTCCTTGTAAAGCGCTTTGAGTGCCTAAAGCAGGTAGAAAGGCGCTATATAAAAATGTGACCATTTACCATTACCACATCACACACACCCAATCATACACCCAATCAGCCAGGATTAACACTGACCATTCTATACACACTACACATACACCAGTGTACGCAGACACTGGAGGCGAGGTGGGTGAATTGTCTTTCCCAAGGACACAACGACGGTGGGCACCTGCGGGATTCAAACCGCAGACCCTCTGGTCACAAAACGACTCGCTCTACTTTCTGCACCACCGTCGCCCCCTAAGCACTCAATCCTAACCCTAATCTAAACCCAATTCTAACCCTATAACCACATCTTGACCCTCAAACAGTCCTTCAAATAAGTGAGGACCACCCAAAATGTCTTTCCAAAAATGTCCTCACTCTGTTGGTTAAAAACTCTAACTTGTCCTCACAATGTCGTAATTACAAGAACACGCACACACACACATACAGTGCAGCAGCGTTAAGTCATACAAAGATTTCCAAAGATTTGAACATCTCACGGAGCACTGTTCAATCCATAATTCTGAAATGGAAAGAGTATAGCACCACTGCGAACTTACCAAGACACGGCCGTCCACCTAAACTAACAGACCGAACAAGGAGAGCACTGGTTAGAAATGCAACCAAGTGCCCTAAGATAACTCTGGAGGAGCTGCGGCGTACTGCCGCTGAGCTGGGGGAATCTGTACATGGGACAACTATAAGTCGTACTCTACACAAATCTGGCCTTCATGGACGAGTGGCAAGAAGAAAGCCATTATTGAAATCATATGGAGGACACAGCTGCCATGTGGAAGAAGGTGCTTTGGTCAGATGAGACAAAAATTTAACTTTTTGACCCAAATGCAAAACGTTATGTATGGAGCAAACCTAACACTGCTCATTGTCCTGACTGCACCATCCCCAGTGTCAAATATGGTGGGGGGAGCATCATGCTATGGGGCTGCTTTTCCTCAGCGGGGACTGGGAAGATTGTAAGAATAGTTGGGAAGATGGATGGAGCCAAATACAGAGATATTTTTGGAGGAAAACCTGCTGGAGTCAGCAAGAGAATTGAGGCTGGGGCGGAGATTCACCTTCCAACAGGACAATGACCCTAAACACAAAGCTAAATCTACAATGGAATGGTTTAAAAACAAACATATTAATGTGTTAGAATGGCCCAGTCAAAGTCCTGACCTAAATCCTATTGAAAATCTGTGGAAAGACCTGAAAACTGCTGTTCACAAACGCTCTCCTTCTAATTTGACAGAGCTTGAGTTGTTTTGTAAAGAGGAATGGGCTAAAATGTCAGTCTCTAGATGCAAATCTTGCAGTTATACCCAAAAAGACTTGCTGCTGTTATGGCAGAAAAAGGGGGTTACACAAAGTATTATTTCATGCTGTATGAATACTTATGCACGCCCCACTTTTCTATTATTTGTAAAATAACAGAATCATGTATCATTTTGCTTTCACTTCACAGTTGTCTGTTACTTGTGTGTGAACTTTCTTTAAAAAAAATCAAAATAAATTCTTTATGTTTAGGGTTGTAAGCATGACAAAATGTGCAAAAGTTCAAGGTGTATTAGTACTTTAGCAAGGCTGTCTTTTCTTTTGTGCAGAGCTGGTCTATGGAGTTGTCTGATGACAGTGATTTTGAAAACTCTGTTGTACAACAAAGGAGAGGTGAGTAAAGGAAAAAAAAAAACTTAATGCCCCTCATTTGTGTTGAAAATGACAGCCTCTCGAGGTTAATTGGTGATCTGACTTGATTTTTGTGATGACTTAGTGCATTATTGAACTTTTTCAAACAAGCATTGTTTTAGGTCATTATTAAGCCTTACGTTAATTCTCTTTTATGTAGTGATTCAGAGAGGTGCACCGTCCAGAGCCCATAGGGAACATGGTGAGAGGCAGGAGAGGGTGGAAGCCAGTGCTCCATCTGATGATGGGATGGAACTACAGGGACAGCGAGGGCCAAATGAAGCTATCAGTCACTTTGCAGATGCCATGTACAGTTAAATTTGATGTTAGACCATTTTGTTAAGGAAGGTATCCTCATTTATCCTCTTGCATCTAATTAACAGTCCTATTGATGTTGAAGAAGATGAAGACCTTGAGGAGGCCATCATACGCAGTCTTTTAGATCAGTCTGTGCAGCCCTTACAGGATTCAAGGTTTACTTGCTTAGCAGACAAAATAAGACTCAGTCAGTTTGGCTTTCATATTTGTTGGCATTAACCATTGTTATCATTGTTTTTGTTTGTTCAGAAGGGTTGCACAACCCAGAAGTTTAAGCAAAGAAGAAATTACAGGAATTGTGAAAGCTCACAGTGAGAGGGTTGTCACAGAAGCATACAGACCGATCTACATCAGCCGAGCGAACGTTTGGAAAACTGCCCTCCGACAGTTTAGTAGACAGAAATTCACTGAGAGGACCAATCTGCTGTATGTGACCTTTGCCAGTGACGAAGGCAACAACGAAGATGGAGAAGACCTCGGAGGGCCAAGACGAGAGTTCTTTCGTCTGCTTGTAAAAGCCATCTTCAAAGAGAGTGGGGCATTTGAAGGTATTTTTTATTTTATTTTTATTTTTTATTTTTTTTGCAAAGTGTTATGTACTTCATATCAAATGTACTTCTGTACTGTAGTGTTAAACTATGTTTTCTTAAATACTGGGTAAGTTGCCCTGTAAACATTTGGGTAACATGCATACATAATGAACTAATTGACGCTTTAGCCAATTAAACTGCACAAGGATGCTGGTTTTCTCTGTCCGAATTACTGTCTTTTTACTGTCATATGAAACTAGACAACAAAAGAAAAGGTGTCCACAGCTATCAACCATGTCATGTTCTTGGAAGGGCAATAACAAATAATAAGTTAGGCTAAATTTTGGCCCTTTATCACCTCAAGATATCTGAATGAAAATGGGTTCTATGGGTACTCAAAAACTCAAAACCCAGCATATCTTCAATACACCTTGTAACATGCAACTTTATGCCAATTCCTTGCCGTTTTTTGCCTGTTCTAAAATTCTATTCCATATATATTTCTGTTGTAGCTTGATGGTATTCAGATTATTGTTTATCTTGAGTGATTCTATATGTCTTTACTGTATAAACATAATAGATTTTTGTTCTAGAGTCTCCAAATGGCTTCACACCAAGAATGAACATTTGTCATGTGCAGAATGGAGTGTACCGCACTATTGGACATATGATGTCTACCATCATTGTCCAGGGTGGTGAACCTCCAGCTCTCTTTTCTCCTCTGGTAGTGGACTACCTTATGACAGGACGCAGCTTTCATTTGAATGTCACTCCAGATGATATAGCTGACATGGAACTTAGAGAATCCCTGAAGAAGGTATGATGTATGTATGCGTGTCAAATTTCATTTGATTAAATCCCAGTTTCTGAGGTGTTTATTTTAATTCTGAATACATCTATCATACCCTAATTTTTCAGTTGCTCCTTAAGGTTGATACATCTTTAACCACTGATGAGCTGGAGCAAGCAGTGCAATGCTGTGACTCATGGAGATTCCAAATAGAAGGTCTTCCGAACCCAGTCAACATGGACAACAAAGACGCATTTGTGCAGAATGCAATAGTTTTCCATGTCCTTATTCAACGACAGAGCTGCTATGATCAATTGGTTGAGGGTTTGAACTACTATGAGGTAAGTTTAGATTTAAATGTAACTGTAATTGCATTTTAATGTACAACAGATAGTGTATTGCTTGTGCATGATTTTTATAGCACACTGGAACACTGTCCAGTCCATAGACATATTATTAATAGACCGTCAATACTCACTCCTCCCCGTTTACCACAATGACCACGTTCGAGGGGGAAATCGTGGCGGATTTACAGACTCCTCCCCAGCTCTGACGAAGCATGTTCCTAATAAGGGCGGGATCTTCACTGTAGACTTGGCCCTTGCGTGACGTGTAGCTCGCGCAGCTCCAATGCTAACAGTCAGACCCCCGTTAAGGAGATTTCTAAAATGTATCCTACCATAACCAGCCCGGTGCCTCAGATTGTGTCCAACTCGGCTTAATCACAGGAGGAATATCTAGCTCTAGACAGTTCCAAACAGTTAGGCACCAGGCATTAAAGTTGTTTTTAACGTGTCTAAAGTCCAATGCATTCCAATGGGGGCCTAGCGGGTATATGGCGGTAGTACAGCAATGGCGGCCTACAGTGTCGTTGTCGCAAAGCAGAGCAGCCAGCAGCCATTGGTCCAATCCCATTCAAAATAAACCAGGTGAATTATCTACAGATCACATGAGTGTTCAGACACTGATTACATTACTTTCCCATGCCCCCGGTTTGACTTTGGGTTTTATATTTTAAAAAAAAATTATTATAATTTTAGTGTATCAGCATCAATCACGTTCATCTAATAAACATGCTGACTGTAAAACACTAAGCATGTTATCAATACGTATTTGGATGATGGATCTCACAACCATAAACTGAAAATGTCTGCTCCATGACTGTGACACATCTGTCCTTCATCCTGCTATCTGCTTTAAAAACATGTCGCTATTAGTGCGAAGCTGCCCTCATGTCTCCCTGAGTAACTAAAAGCTCATGCATTTAAGCTTCTAATTTAGTTTTTTTTTTTGTTTTCACAGGTTCTGCCACTCCTGAAAGAAAGGCCTTGCCTTAGGGTCCTTCTTGAAATGCCCAAAGAACCCAGTGATGTCACAGCAGATGTTGTAGCTACCCTCCTGAAACCTACCTACTCTGTTCCGGGAAGTAACAAACGACCAAGAGAGGAGTTAATGGTGGTTAAGTTCAGAGAGTTTCTTGACTGTGTACAAAGTAAGTGGATGTAAATTGTAGTATGACTAAAACAGTCTCTTCCCTGCTGAGCTCCAAGTTTGCAAACCAATATTTTCTTAATTGATTAGTTTGTTCCATAAAGTTGACACTTGTAAAAGCTGTTTAACCGTCGTCCAAACCTCATTATGACATCCTCAAGTATCTTGTTCGGTCCATAGATCTTCAGTTTACTGTCATAGAGAACTAAACAAACGAGAAAATATTAACTTTTAGGAAGCTGGAATCAGAATTTTTCCTACCTATTAATAGATTTTCAAAATTGTCATTAATTTACTTAATAGTTGTTAACTAATGGATTCATTGTTACACAGCTTTAATGTTAAATAAGTCTCTTGATTGGCTAAATAAGGTGTCCTGGTGGTGTAATGCATCACATATGTGCCATGGATGGGTTTTCCCAGGACTGGTTTGAGAATCACTGATTGAGAGGATATTGCAGTGCATGTCATAGTACAAAACTCCCTGCTGGACTGATGAGCCCAAGTCACTCCTTGCGCAACGTTGCCATTTCTCTTTGTAGTTCGCTGCTGACATGAGTACAACTGCCCCTAATGTTGCATGTTAGTATTATAAGTTTCTGTTGTGTTGTGTGCGTTATTGAGAATGTAAATGCATGATATGTCCATACTGGTGTTACATTTAACCTTGCTTGTGTATTCAACATGATAGTATTCTACTTTAGTGAAATTTCAGTGTTCTTTTCTCCACTTTTTATTATCTTTATTACAAACGTTAGTCTATGGATAATGTTTGCTAGAAGCTGCAATCATGGCAGATTACCATTTGCATAAATATAACATTTAGTTTGTTTGTGAAGGATCTCATTCATCCAGGGAGTATCCATTGTAGACAAAGGTAAAATTATCAACTGGACTGGGGTTGGTAAAGTTGAGGATGTTTCGCTTGTAGTCACAGAAGCTTCATCAAAGCCCTTCAGGTCATAAAAGACATGACTACCCAAACTGGAAGGCACTAAAAAGACCCAAACACCACTGTTGATCTGTAGAACTAAAACCAAAGGTTGCAGCGACTCTTACCGGAGTACATAGCCAGATTGGGTGGCACCAGCGAATAACGCTCAGACTTCACAGTATGCTGTCAAGTGTTACAATAGACATTTGTGATAAGTGTTTGCTCTGCCTTATTTATACATTATCCTACATAATGGTGAGGATGTCATTTCACAGTCTATAATCCATGACGCGTCGTCCTACCCCTACATATTTTGAAATCAAGCTATATGTTGATTCTGTTTTGTAGATAAAATGGTAATGTCTATTTTCTTTTGTTCTGAAACTTTTCAACCGTCTAGAGAAGGAGCTGGGGGAACATCTCAACGCCAGGGACCTCACAGAGGCAGAAAAGATGTTTATCCCGACATTGAATCCTGGACACATCCTAGCCTATGCAACAGGAAGCAGCAACGTTCCTGCAATTGGATTTTTTCCTAGTCCAAAATTGACTTTTGTTCATGATGACACAAAGCACCTACCTATTGCTCACACATGCTCAAATGAGCTTCAGCTCTTTGTTAACAAAAAGAATCTGGAAGATGACAATGAATTTGATTACAATTTTCTGGTGTCTCTCATGAATGGATCAATTTTTAGTACAGTGTAGTCTACAAAATGCTAATGCTTGGATTGTACATCTTATTTGGAGCCCAGAGCTTTTAATGGATGGACATCAGGTTGACATCTGTATCGTGTTCTTTGAGCTGTTAAAACTGTTAAAGTTTTGTAAGTTTCAGCCAATTTGTTAAGAAACGTGAAGATCTTGTCAGTTCATGATATGCGCCATTTAGTTAGGACAAGGCACAGTGCATGTGTTTGCTTATTTTGATTAAACACTTACAAAAAATTGGTTTTGCTTTTCTTGTCCAATATCAACAGGAAAGTTCATGGAAAAAAATGACTTTAAAAAGTATCTTTAATATTTTTACAAGTCTTCTTACAAAGCAAGGTACAGTTGGTTGCTTTAAACTTTCACTGTTCTTGCATGATATAAACCTTTCCTAAATCATACATATTCACAAATTAGAGCAAGACAGAGGTATACTGAGTCACACAGGAATAAACTGATTTTCTTTTCTCAAAACAACTCATTTGAACATCAAAATAGTTCACAATGAATTCAATAGTTAACTAATCATTGCAGTTTGAAAATACATTTTAATGAATTTTGCTTGGATTGTTACATACTTATAATTTTGTGCAATACAAAATCCTGTACTCTGTGATACAATGTTTTCCCCTTGTTGCCATCATTTTCAAGTGGGTTTACTGTAACAACCAATTCTTGTAAGTCCTGCTGGTTAAGTGGGCAAAAGGAGTAATGTGCATTAGGAGTTGATGCGGAGTCCATCGTTCTTTGCTCAGCTGCAGCTTCTGGATAGTTTAGTAACAGAAGATGTCTGTCTAGTGTAAAAAGCTGAACTGGGGTCCTATTTCCTTCTGAGGAAATTGAATGGTTGTTAAATGCAGATTTAAACTCATCTAATGTACGATTGATCCTGGGAATGTACACATAATGGAGAGAAAATAAATCTGTATCATTGTCCACATTCAAAGCCTCCATTGACTCTAGTTCGTAGAAAATGGGTGCAAACACATGACTGCAGTTTCTGTTCAAGTCCCGATTGAATCGTTCAATTCGCTGGTTATGTACCGAGCTTCCAGTCAACACAGAATTTTCACCTCTGTGCATCCTCATGTCTTCCCAAACCTTGACATTCTCCCCTCCATGATCAGTTCTAATATGAAGAGGCCGGCCATGTTTGCTGATGGCTGAACTGAAGAGGTTAATAACAGTTTCAGCTCGATTGTTGTTGGAACACCGGAGAAACATTAACATTCTACTGTAACCATCCATTGCGCCATGTACAACTAATTTCCATCTTATCAGTTTATGATTTCCATCTATGTGCCATATATAGTTTGGACAAGGCACAGTGTATACTCGTCTTTGTACAGTTGTTGTTCTCCTGGACTCAACACCAGCACCATCAACCCGTTGAACGGAGTCTCTGAGACGGCGACGCTGCACCACAATATTTCTGGCACGCAAATGTCCATTAAGCATAACTTCTCCTACATGTGGATGTTCTCCTTTTATCTCACATATAGTTGCATCCAGCTCCTCATCAGAAATGTTACAAAATTTGGTGCGTCTTATGTTATATACCCGCATGAGCTTGTATAATGTGGGTCTGGAGATCCGCAGGATTGAGGCAATTTCTGAAAGTGTTGTCCCTAGCAGCAGAAAACCCTCAATGTCTTCTTTGGAGATTGAAGTATGTTCATCCTAAAAAAAGAGAGGGAAAAAACGGATATGACATTAACTAATATCATAAATTGTTTGGTAAAGAATAAAGAATGACTGATGAAATGGCACCAAAAAGAACTTCAACAATTTGGTTCATATTGTATTGCACAGTATGTAATGTAGAGCAGTTGTTTTTTTCACACCAAGGGATATCACAAGCAACATAATAAATGTAGGACAAGCTGGGAAGGACAAGGGGTTGGACTGATACGCAATTATGTTTTAGTAACACAACCAACGCACAATAGATGTATTTGATAAAATGAGACTACAGCGGGCAACAGCAGAACTCTTCCAATCGATACCATGCCTTAAGTAAATTGCAGCTCATTTATGAGTGCCCACTGTGGCTCATCGACAACCACGACTACAACATCAATCACAGAACTCCTCCCCCAGCTTACACGAACGACACGACCTCTATCCCCCATGTCACCCGCTGAAGATCTCACTCAACATCTTTTAATACAATCCACCTGCCCGCCCCACGTTAAGTACGCCAGTAGCCGTCGCTTGCACCAATAACAACAGAATCCAATGTTGACTATCAAATCATGAGAAAGAGTTATTTTGAAACCAAAACTAGATAAAATGTTCACCATGTCAGTCGATATCACACATTACTGATCTCCGGCTGTGACGTTCAAGTACGGGAGTGCCTGGATGCACTGGGCACCGCCGCTGGTGATGAACACCAGAAACCAAAGCCTGGCATTTTAGATGTTTGATATAGCCAAAGTATGTTATTACACGTGGATCACAGCACAGGCTTCATAAAGTAAGTGGTGAGTTTTGTCACTGGTAATTAATGAGTCAACGAGGTTAGGCCAGTGGTGTAGTCTTACATATTTTCTTGTGGGTATTCTTTTTTA